GGTACTAATATATCTGTCAAATAAACATAAAGTCCACGGGTCCCTGCGATATACCTTATATATTGTTTTTACCCAATAATTCCAAGATTGTCGAGATCTTATGCAAGATACAAGACACATATGTAGTCAGGCTTCAGTATATGCCACTTTTAGTCCTTCCAAGTTCTTAAAGCATGCTGAAAGTTTATTGATACATATGTTCCGACGGGATGAATATTTTACGGATGACGTTCGGGTCTTCTCAGGAGTTATTATTTTCAGCGCTATATGTTGGAGAGTCAGCTTGACGGCACCAGTAATGGATATGGCATCCAAGAGCAGTATACAAGTACGATTCAGTATTGCAGAAGATTATGTGTGATCATTAATGACTGAAATGCTGATGCACAGAGAGGAGAATATTCTATGTGCTGAGTATGCCATACTGGAATAAAGTATTCTCATCCACTCGTGCCGCATTCTCATAGACAAAAGTCTATACTTCTGTGCACAGCAGAAAAAGTAGTCACCAAAAAGCGATGGTGCGACTCTCTTTTAAACCTTTGACGCTATTACAAGTCTAAAAGTAAATCAGGAAACTGTTTGTAAGAATTCAAGTACTTCCTTTAATTACATATGGTTAGGTAATATGCCTCCTTTCCGTTCGTAAACCTACTCAAATCTCGATCGATTGGGAAAATTACCTGCCCAGCAGGTCAGCTAACACATATGAATATTTTTAACGTCATGATGGATCAGATTGTACGATCGGAGTTTTGTTGTCAAGATCAGTTCGCTGCTTATCGCCGCCCTCCACTTAAATTTCTCCTCTGTTTTAAAAATGGTCGCATGTTGTGGCAACTCAGCTCAGGAGAGTCTTTGTATACCACATCAGTCGTTTTTCCTGATCACGGTAATTGAACCCTATGCCAGTTTTCTAATCCATTCCATTTCGAACCTCCTCTCTGGCTGTAACAACAACTCAATAAATCACTACTAACAACTCATCGTAGTTATGTTATGCACCGTGAGATTTTTTAACATCTATACAAAAATCCACCGCCTTCCTTCAGAGACCCTTAAGTTGCTTGTTGCAAATGGTCCTTTACAGAACTCTAATCATGGGCGTTGACACGATCGTCGAGCTTGCTGGCAGATTAACCTCGAAAGATGTGCAACTGTGAAAATTCTCCTACCGTAAGTAGGAGTACCTGTTTCATTCACCGTCCGTTCCATTCGAAATATGCTAAATGAGATTGAGAGTACGTTGCAATTAGGCAATTCAATAATGCCTCTATCATCCTCTTCCAGGAGTCTTGACTCTCAGTTGAAGTTAACAATCTTCCTGGTGTCGATTACCGACTTTCGGTCATTTCGAATTGATCGACACTCGACAACCTGATCCCAAGTGATGGAGTAACCGTTTAAATCTGACAGAGGTGGTGCACCCACCCAGAAGCAATGTATGTCGCTCTATCTGACAGAACTAACTGTTTTCAGTTAGTTAGTTCACTGATGACGAAGTTTCATGCACCTGCACTAGCGTCTGATGGTCGGAATCATCTGTTTCTCGCCGGACTGCGCGCTTGACGAACTGGAAGAGTCCGATACCTCTCTTTCCTCGTTTCTATCAATCATTGTAAACAAAATCTAGTCATTCTGACCGGCGACTTTGACCGTCACGGTCTGAAATTTCGAGGACCGATCAGTCCTGTAAATATTCTGCTGTTTCATCCACTGTGCGGCTACCCTCAATAACATGTACAGGCGTCAACCATGCCGAAGTTTTCCTCACTCGCAGAGCAACTCCATTTTGGTTGTCGCGTTGCCTATGGGACAGCCTTCGCCTCTGGCATCGAACCGTACCCTGCAGCGACATTCGTGAAGTCAGCGGACAAATGCTGCGAAGGTTCCTTAGTTCCTTTCACTGGCATAGTTTACCACAGATGATTTGTGGCCAGAAAGATCTAGACGCGGCAATGTCGTAAGAGAAAATTTTGCCTGCTTCTGTCCAATGGAAAAGCCCCTTAGGCGATAGAGTGTCACATTATGTCTGAATAATGGCTGCACTCTGTCGCCAAAAGAAAAATGGCCTTAGGTCCAGAACGTCATTGAAACCAAACCAAACCAAAGCAGAAATTCAGCGGCAGAACAGTGCCTACGTGAAACAAGGCTTTGCGAAAGATCGGATGGCGCAACATCAACTCGCTATGCAATACGCTGCTAGCTCTACCCTGAAGAACCTCGCTTAAACGACCTCAGCCAACAGTTTCTCCGTTTCGACACCGACAAATCGATCTCACCTGACCTCTCTTCACTTCTCACCGACAAGCGAAGAGAGGGCAGGGCGACTCAGTTTAGTACAGTAGAAGTTCAATCCTGTTTGGAGCGTCACAGCTCAAACGTACCACACGGTCTATATGGAGTCAGCTGACATATACTCAAACTTTGTCCATCCGAGTTGTGTCATGTTCTGTAGCCTCTATTCAACTGCCGTTTGTGCAACACACTATTCCCTGTGCAGGCCGAACAACAGCGATTGCTCCGGTGCCAAAATGAGGTCAGCAACTAGTCAACCTCGTTTCCATCCGATCCATTGCTTTAACTTCTGCTCTCCTTAAATGCTTAGAGAGCTTCTTGCCAACGATTGAGCTGAATCTCAGTAATATGGTTGATCAGCGGCAACTTGTCTAGAGGAGATGGCTGGCAACGAACGATTCCCGTGCCTGCGTCACAAACAAAATCGCGAGTGAACTGGGCAAAGAAGGAAAAATTGCAAGGGCAGCATTGTTCGACCTGTCCTTCACCTTCACTACCATCCCGCGCCACGGCCTGTTGGTTAAACTTGCCACAACTTCCATAGACCGCTCGGTCCTCCAGCGACACGATAACTCTTTACTTCCATTGGTAATTCGTCACATGTGGTAGCCACAATATGAGAGGTCCTGCAACAAATTGGGTGCGGTACATGGATGGATTCTGTCACTTCTGTTATTCAATATAATTGCAAATGACGTCATTGGTGGTGCTCCTCTGACAGCATCAAGTACACTGAAAACATACTCCTGCAGCTGACCAAAAACTGGAATATTTAAAGAATGGCTTCTTCAATATCTGCCATTTCTTCTCCTCAAATGGATTAATTCGAAATCCTGAGAAGACGAAGGAATTGATTTCTATGATGCGAGGCACCAAAATGACTAATTGAGGCCTTTATTAAAGTGCTGTACATCAGGTACCTCGAAGTGATTCTTTCTTTCAACTTAACGTGGCGTATGCACATTCAGCGACAGTCACGAAGTGCATCCAACAAATCATCCTACCTGAGTGTATCTTCTCGAACAGAACCGTTCAAGCGATCAATTATCCCAGCATCATCGCGAACTCTCACAGACCAGGAGCATGTCAACACTGCTTAGAAACGCATATGTTTTGACACAACTGCTTGGGATTAACAATGCGATGTTTTTAATTTATTCTGGTAATTGCACATTATCATATCTATTCCGTTTTGGTTATGCCGAAAACTATGGATTGCTGTGACCCATTTCAAGCAGTAAACATTGGTAAATCTATCGCATCCAAATCCTCTCTATCTCTTTTATACCGTATAATGTTTCATGCCAGAAGGTCTCAATAGGTTTGCTTCTGTGCGGGCTGAAGGCCACAAAAATGCTGTCGCAGACATCTCAGACTCCGCAAAACGAAGGACGTATCCCTTGACGATCACCGATTCATTTATAAATTCATCTGCATTAACTTTCTATATATATCAGTCAGTTTCTCCTCATCATTTTTTAGGCCTTGCCTCAATTTTATTCAGATCTAGTTTTATTACTAGTTTTATGTGCGATTTAGACAGTGAAACTTTTGACTGACATGGCGAGAAATTTTCTCGTCGTTGATAAACCATGCTGAATACAACAGACCGGATAAGTGCATTCCAGTAATGATTTTATTTCGCTTGCAGTGACGCCCAGCAGTCATAATGGTGGCTATTTTTGAAGGAGCGTTCAGACCAAAATTCGGTCCTCTCCAACAACGAATATTAGCGGAGTGTGCGTATGCATGTACTGTAATTCGGTTACGTAGATATTCGCTGCTGTTTCGGTTGTGATATTTTTTTTTAAACTTGCTCCGTTTGTTTTTGTGATTGTACGAAACACTTAACTGCAGTCTCTGTCTGTTTCTGAGGAAAACTCGCAACCGTGCTTCTTCCTAGAGACTTATTTCTCTAAATAATTTCTTCAATAGAGACACATGTGTTGAGGACCAATGGGAGACACATTCGCCTTCCACACAAGTTACCTGGAAAAGCGTTGCTCTGTCCAAATCTGGAAACGAAAAAAATATGCTTTCTACATTCAACGTATTAAACAATGCTAAAAACAGAAATATCACCAAATGTATAGCTTGGCACCTAATTCACAGGATGATCCGAACAAACGAAAACGTTGTGCAAGAAAGACAGGTACGACGTAATGAGTACGTATGTAATTAAGGTTATGAACTCAGAAGCGTTCCGCGTAATTTCCTGGAAACGTGCCGCGCTGGCCAGTTCGTAGAGACGTGCCAAGAAACCAGCCATCGTCGCAAAACTCTGAAACGAATATTATGTCCCCGGCTTTCACTTCCAATTCATCAGCGCTGCGAGGTTCGTAGTCATAGATAGCTTTGTACCTAGAACAAAACAAATATGAGCACGTTGCCTCGCATGGAACAATCGTGGCTTACGTTGTGGCGTTGTCAGGTATGCTCTCGGCGGACGTCTTAAACACAGTCGTGGTCGCTAGATTTGTCTGGGACTTTGGTAACGGCGACGAGGTAAGAGGTTTGGCTATCGATGAAAACACTGCCTATAAGATTTACGTATGAATACAGTTAATCGACTAAGCAAACTGATACTCAGGATTCTAATATGACAAGTACTAAAACGAAGTCTGAGGTCAAGTTTCGAACTGCCAGACAATATGGCATGCGGAAATAGTGAATCTTGGTCAATAGCCATTAAATTCTACGAATTCGGAATACATAATTAATGAGAGGTCCTCTTCGACAGCACTAATTTCTCGATTTCTAATATTAGCGAATGAAGAGTTGTGCCATTAAACGTCCTGGTATTACAGAGAATGGACTCAGAGTAATGAAAAATGCATCACATTAGTACACGACGGTATTTGGAAGTATGTATTAAGCCGTGAATCCGGCGGGTCCAGGTTTATCAGCATCAGTGAAAGGAATGAGCCCCTTCATAAATGACCAACCTGATCTAGTTGTACCTTTGCACAGATTCGCAGGTTGCGCTATTTGACCTTATTATTAGCATGGTTCCTCACTATGCCGCTGCGCATTTTCTGTTTTACTACCTCAAATCCTGTTTCATCTTTCGGTTTGCCATGATGTTCAATCCTATAGTTTAATTCTTTTCCATTTTTCCAAATTCTCCATGTATTTGTTCATTTCACCATCGTATTTATAATCATCATCATTGTCGTGACTACAATTAAAGTCATCACTATCATTACCATTGACGTATCAACTTTATCACTGTCGCTATTATTATCATTATCACCACCTCTTGTTCTGCAGCGTTCATACAACAGTCAAGTGATTTCTCTCGGGCGATGCCATTCAAGCGGTAAAATAATTGATCTTAATCATTAAAAAATATTTAGCACTTGTGCTACTTAACTCAGAATATCGGGGTTATGTTTTGCTTATATTTTCATAACTATTCAAACATATACTTAGTTTCTCGTCGTTTGTTCCGCAGAACTACACTGTTTTTAAAGTTAAAGTGCTTCAACGTTTCAGAACATAGTCGTTCAATTCTGAGGGGCCTTATTGCGCCCAAAACTTACAAATCTTTACCTCAAAAAAAACAAGAAAAAAGGGATTAACAAAAACCCCAAGAAAAACTGTACATTAATCTGTCTTTAAACAGTAGTATAATACAACATAACTATGTAAACTATGTACGGGGAACTTAACCTTCAAAATTGCACAGCGTTTGCTGACCACCACGTTAAATATGCTTGGAAAATTTCATGTGTGATGGATGGATCTAGTGTGATCAAAAATGTCAAGCAACTAGCAGTTAGCATAAAACGAAGAGCATGAAAAACTACATGATAAAAAATCTTGATATAATGCTCAAAAAATTTTTATTTTATCATTTATACGTTAGGTACGAATATCTTCAACAATTTTTCAGTCTTGGAGGCATAAACATAAACATAAATATAAAAGCGCCTCAACGATTCTAAATTCAACTGTGAATAGCCAGTGTCTTACCTTTTCGCTCACTATGCCAAATGGATCACTCCGCTTGTAAGCCACTCCATTTACCATGAGTTTTGATAAAGATTCGCATACACTGAAAAAATATATTAAATGCCAGGACTACCATATTTGTGTAATCAAAGGGTCCACCTTGAGGACTTAGGCTCCTTGCTTCCGCTATCGAGTGCTGAAGCAAACGCTAAAACAATACATATAATATAATCACATGACTGTATAGCAGCTTGGGACCTTTGCTTATTGCAAGTTAGTTGCTTAATAACGTTAAGATAAAACAATACCGTAAACTGTCCACAGAAGGAACTTTAACTTTGGTCGTTTGCTTCAATTTGTGCATGTTTTGACATTTACGTTGTTTTGCATCTTTCCAACGTTTGTTCACAGACAGACATACGTCGAAAGTGCATCCATGTAATTCGAAAGTTTTTGTACAATTAATTCATATGACGCTGAACAGCGGAGCATGTCTCCAGATTGTGACAGTTGGTGCGTTATAGAGGCAGATCATGATTCACAGGTATTCTGCCACAAGAACTCCCAATTTCGCCATCACCAATCCTACCATTAAGATTTAGGAGCTATCATTATTCTTGACTCGTTTATACACTAACAATGCGCTAGCAAATTAACAAACAGCCCGTATTGTTCCAATTTTTCAAGCAAAATAAATTGCTTTGGACCTGAACCACTTCCACGACATAAATCTTGCAAAGATATCAGTTTGTCTTTGTCAAATGAGAACTAACTTTACAACGGTTCATGAGTGACTTTCACACAGGCAGCACATTTCATGTTTTCGAACGTTATGATACCACATTCGCAGATGATGCACCTCCCATAAATTGCGCTATATAAAGTTCGTTCACTCGACCACGTTCTGTGTTGGGCCTACCCTATCGAGTCGAAGACCAGTGAAGTCAGGGCATTGCTTCTCTACAAGGACTCCAGCAAACGACAACGAGTTGACGAAAGCATTTACGTTAAATCGCAGAATATTAGCTCAGTTCTTGGCATTAAGCACACTCTCTTCGTAACTCAAAATTACCCCCCCCCCCTTCTCACCCCACCCTTCACCCATAAACCAACA